GAATTATAATTTACTGATGAAAAAGAAAAAACAAAAACAAACATGTAAATTTACTCAAATGGTCAGTCTAGTTTGTAAGAACTTCAAACTAAAGTTCACAAGAAGTGAAATGTATTCTCTTAGGCAAGATGTTTATAATACATATGTCATTGGGAAAACTATTACCCTGCTGGAATCAAAAGTGATTGGTCTAAAATGATGTCAGAGGCTTGTCACTTTAGGTTCCAGTCGATTGAAGTTGCATGCCCCCAGATGAAAATTCAACTTGAGAAAAATGAATAAATAGTACTAAGATTTTAAGAAAAGTGAAAAAGATGCAAGATTCCAGTAGTAATTTACATTGTATGTGCGATTTATGACTGATATTTCAGTGCTAATCACGAAATTTTCGCAATAATGGATAGTTTTTAATATTATGACCTCTGTTTAGTAATTTATGTGGATTGTAAGTACCATTTGGCTATTTGCATGTGTAAAATTAATTATTTTGTTCACTTTACAATATTTTACTTTTAAACATATTTTCAAATATTTTAATGAAAATTAGCATGAATTAGGTTGCATGCTGCTTGAAGGTATGAATAAAGCGCAGTTCTTTTTTCCCCATTTTACTCAAAAGCCGCTTTCAAAGAAACTATTTCGGCTGTCGATATAATTGTGCCGATATAAATGCATTATGTGAGCATTGACGCCTTACAATGTATAGTTTAATGTAAATAAACAAATGAATGAATAAATAAATTAAATAAAACTAAACAGAAATCTCCAGAATAAAAAACAATATACAGTATGTATATACGAGCCGTATGTTAACTGGCATAACAGATAGGGATACAACACAAGAATGCATAATTCCACAGATATACATTCACCGGATTAGAAACTCCGAAAAATAAACAACTGTCCGATCTATACCCACAATCCTTTGCGCGCTTCGGTAATTATCGGATTTTCCCGCTAGTCTCCGATTTTCGCGCTCTCGTTAAACTTCGGCGATATCCGTTAATCAATGTTTACATTGCCGTTGTATTGTAAATTACGATAAAAAATCAACAATTAAAGGAATAAAATGTTATTTATGATAAATTTATTTTATTTTTATTTTTTTGCAATTCCCCTTTTAAATCAAATCCATATTTCAAGTTTTTTTAATCTCAGGGTTATAACCAATTGCTTATTCTTTGGGGCGATAATTGCGCTATATTACTGTTTGATTTGATTGTATTTATTTTTTTCTTAATTGCGATGTTTTTCACAATGAAGGGCACACTCTTAGATCAAGCCGATTTGATAATACTTAAATTAGCTCTATAATTACCTATATATATGTAGAAATGAATGCGGCATTTATTTAATGTTACACGTGCGTCATTAATTATAAAGACGTTTACCAGTTAGCAGTAGAACACAGCAATTAACATATTCCCACCTTTTTTTGAGTAATAATGCCTTCAATAAATCGTCTAAAACTTTCCTGTAGGCTTATTTTTAAATTCAAATGTGTTAATGTTCATGTAACTATGGCTTCCTTAAAAACCAAAAAATCAAATTCAGGTTTTCTATCAGGGGATGATTTAAATTTGTCAGAGCTGTTTGATGGGGAATATACCGATTATTATTTAGATGACAGTGATTCGGAGTTTGAATCCGAAAAATCAGAGAAAAGTGAAAGTAAATTAGCAATGTCAGTGATAGGTTATGTACGTGTGCCCACATTGTAGTAAAACTTTGAAAACGATATCTGGATTTCGTAGTCATGTTTCAAGACAGCACAATGACACTTCTTCTAAAGGTATGCTCTGTTTATTTTATATTAAAAGATATTTTCCTTTTTAGTTGTTTTATATGGCACCATGCAAGAGGTCATATGACGAAATTCCTGCTTTACTGGTGTAGGAAGACCTTAGTTCCCTTTCCCTGCATCAGGCTAAAGCGGGCATCTGGTTAGACTTGATTTTCTAGTAAGCTATCTGTTCAGCTTCTTCAAACTAATCTCTAGCGGGATTGATACCAACATTATGAATGAGCCCAATTTTCACCAATTAATTCTGATAAATCACCTAATTGGTACACTTCAGCTTATGCTTTTAGAAATAGGATTAAATTGAATAACATGTAAAACAAACACATATTTCTGCTTACTATTTAATTCAAATAAAACAAAATAATAAATAAAACATACAACATATAAAACAAAACAGTACCTCTATATGATTAAGTTACTGATACAGTGTAAGAGATCAATCTTAATTTTACCTTTACTTTTTATCAATTCATCAACAAACATCAAAGAATAGTTACAACCTCATTCATGGTGTAGTTTGTTCAGTCTCTCTTACTTTTTATTTATATTATAACACAATATTAATCTTTGTGATAAGAAATATAATGATATACTTATATATATAAATAATAATAGCCAGATACAGACTTGCATTTCCCCCATGTTTGTGGATGAAGGAAAGACTAATTACAACCATATTCTATATTTAATCTCAGTACGTGATAAGAAATACAACATCAAACTTAGATTATTAACTAGAAAGTGTGTGTTGCGGATACCAAAAATGTCCTTATTTTTTGTGATAAAAAACATATTCATTTGTTTGAACTTTATATGATCACTTAACAAATACGTGTTTGTATAAGTGTAAAATGTATGACAAAAAACTACTGTTTACATCAACAAAATGTTTCTGTTTGCCTCTATAACAGACTTATACATTATTTATTTTAAACAAGTGGTTCTCTTTGGTAATGAACAGTACTCATGGTCATAATTGCCAATGGCTTGCACAGCTCTCTTCTCTCCTGCCTTTCTCTTAGCACGGAACCATCCTTTTTTTCGTGGCATCTGTAAATATTGAAATGCAAAATACATATTATTATAAATAGAAGAAAATTCTAAGCACACCTGAACAATGTAAACAGTAAATATAAAGAATACTACAATATCAACTCCATGAATATACACAGGATATAACATATTTCAAAGTCAATAGTATTAGACATTATTTCCTGTCATAATGACACTTCCTGTGTTTGGTATGTATTGTATAAATATACAAGCATAAAGATCAACCAGATATAAAGGTAACGTTCACAAGACACAACCTCCAACACACCCAAGCAGGGCACCCAGAAGAAGAACTCTTTTTTTTTTTTCGATTGCCAAAAAAAAAAAAAAAAACATCAACGTTTTTTAAATTACTTAAAGTTAAACATAAATTTTTGTTAAAAATTAAGCATTTTAATAATTTTGAGAGCTCCAAGTTCAAACAATGACGAGGAAAATAAATTATGGCCATGAACAGATAATACCTTATAATTGTCCGGAAAAAAACATGTCCGAAAATACTGTATTAAACTCTGTTCAGACTATAAAATACGCTTCAAAAAAATCGAAAAAACTCACATCAAAACAAAAAACGAAGTTAAACAAACATCATATTTCAATTAAGAAATCCTTAATACATAAGAAAATGCAAGAATTATACGTATTGATATAATAGTTAGAGATCCTTAACAAATTAAAATTGACCGCTCTCGCAGGATTGTCAATATACCACGCTGTACGGCACAGTATTTTTCCAACAAGATTTTCTCCTAAAAAATACTCAATTCCTTCAAAACAAGCTAACATGACTTATCCAAACTTTCTTTACAATCAATTTCTACCAACCTTTAACTTCATCGTTAACTATTGCTTCATAAATTAGAAGAAAATGATCCGCTTTTATTGTCGGTGTATCGCCGTGAAATCAATATGGCGGTATTACGACTTCTTTTTCCCAGGATGCATCAAATCTCGGAAAATCCCGCGATAAATGATAACTTACGAGAAACGCTTTGCATCTATGCTGAATTTAACTGTGTGACGTCACAAGTTGCTTCTCCAGTCTATTCAACTCCATGATAATTCATATGTTTCAAAAATATGCATTTTATATTATATAAATGCTACTTTTTGTATTTGTATCTTCTATTTGAAAATTGAATTCAAAAATAAATAAATAAATAAATAAAATAAAATAAAAAAAAACAACTTCATCTGTACACATGAAATACCGTGTTTCAGGAACGTTTTAATAATCACCTTAATTACCGTAGGAGATTATGCCGCCTGTCAATCAAACTGGCAGGGGTCTTACAGATAAGTCAGTCGGCGATCGTTATCGCAAAATCCGCCATTTCCTTAGACAAGCTATTTGTATAATAAGACAATGGTGCAGCAAGAAAAACATTAAAATTGTATATATAACAATTTGTTTGTCTAAGGTTCTGAATGACCGGGTCACGTGAATCAGTGGGCGGAGAAATCTATTCTCTGGCGTAATGTCAATTGACATATCCGTTTAATTTGCTTGAGATATTACGTATATAAATTGTTTTAGTAATTCATAACATTTCAAAGCATTATTTGTTATCATTATAAATATCATCATGTGTATAACGATTAAAAAAACAAATTTCGTATTCAAAAATATTTGAAGACACCTGAAAACTGATTTTAGTTGGATAAATTCGGCTTAGAATGATTGCATCTTAATCCAATTCTTAATCAAGCCAAAGAAATTCTGCAATCTGCAAATCACTTAAATACCATCACCGTGTTAGATCGGATTTATTGGTGAGTGTTTATGGTTGATAGTAAAACACACACTTAAGATAAAAAAATAATTCTGCTAAGTTCAATTAAACGTGAAAATACCAAGTGGTTTGATGAAAATAAGCATAATTTTGATTCCACTATTATAGCGATCTTTGCTCTTGATGGATCTCTCAGAATGTTTTATTCCAGAAGATTTTATTCTGTTGACGTGCAATATTCTTCTATATAAATATTGTAGATAATCTGTCACAAATCTTTCAAGAAACAACCATAATGTTATTGTATTTATATTTTTTATATCAAAAAATTAATCAACTATAGCTTTATACACGTGGTATGCTTTGTTTTCTAAATAATCTCGCTTAGCAGTTGTCATACAAATTTAGCAGTTGTCATACAAATGTACTATATTTCAGGATGGCAACGCTGGTGTGTTTACTCATTGTGTTGCTAGGGGTGATGCCACATGTACATGGTTAGTATGAAAAACGACATTTTTCAAAACTGTTACTCTTGACATTTTTTTATTTACGGTATAGAATAACTTTATTCAGATAAAAAATTGCTTACAGTGCTCTATATTGTTAGTTATATTCTACTTGTTTCTTTTTTTAATTCATGTACCATTTTCAAAGCATAATTAATTAGACTACATTTTACTTATTATTTTCTTATATTATATTGAAGCCGTAGCCCCAGTTTTCACTACGCCAAATCCAGATGTCAATAATCCTTTGCATAAGCTATATTTAGACGAGGATAAGAAAGGAAATGACGTAGTTGCCACTCTTGCGGCAACAGACGCCGACACGGATGATAACTCATTGGTGTTCTCCATGGATACATCAGTAAGTTTTGCTAGTAACAAGAGGCTGAAAAGTATTCCATCTATAAATAGCTCGCATAATTTCGATCAACTTCAATACTTTCCGTTCCCCCATTTTTTATTATTTATTTTGATAAAGTTGTGAGTTCTATTCCTAAAGAAATAAGCGATTATTGAAATTATGTGCATATGGAGAGTGGCGGAATATTCCGAATTACACAAATATGTGATGAATTGCCCTGGTGCAAAAATGACCTATCATTAACTATACCTTAATATGTAAATCGCATGTCATGAATGCCTTAACGACCTTACCGGTCTGTGAAAATTAAAAAAAAAAAGTTAATTTTACATTATTAGTTTACCTGGTTATGTTATTTGGTTAATGATAATATAATTTTCTCTTGCAAACATGTTTTGCTACATTAATCAAAAACCTTATTCTTTATTCGTTCATCCTAAATCAATTTACAAGCAAATGCCGGTTATTTTTCAGTTATAAGTTTCAGTGTAATGTATTTATTAATTACAGCCAACAGCGACAAAAGACCTTTTTGAAATAAATAGTAGGACTCTTAGAGTGAAGTCAACCGTCACTGCGGGCACCTTTGATTACGAGAAAAACGGTGCTATTAAAGAATACTCAATCACTCTACAGTAAGTATTTAACAGCTACAAGCTTTGATAGATTTTACAATGTGTATTTATAACACATAATATTTATGGTCAAACCCTGGTATGTACTTCTGCCTGAAAAATGCACTACGTGAGGCGCACTGGGTGCTGCAGTGTATAGTGGGGGTCACTTGACGTCTGGAAATACTAGAAAGGGACATGTGGTGTTTTTTTCAGCTGCATTTAGTACTTACATATAACTCCTGTCGTTGTGAATGTAATATTTTGGAGGAAAACGGGGGAGGGGGTAGGTCCTCAAGAACGAGGGAAAAAATAGGTGGAATTCGAAGATTTGGTTTGATTCATTAGTTAATTTTCAAGACTAAATGTTTTTAAATAAAATTTTCCGAAAGGCCAGAAAAAACACCACTAATAGAAGAAATGGCGTCATATGATCTTTACATTATCGCTATGAATTTGAATCCAGCTAAAACATGAAAATCATGAATAAATGTCTACTACGTATTCTTTCGTTGTATTCATTGTATACCATTATGTTTATTGTACTAATGATTAAAAAACTGATCCTTGGCGTTTTGGATGTTTTTTTCCGGAATTTAATACATAGCGAATTTCAACATAAACCTCTTGACATATACATGTATTTTGACTCTAAAAATTTCACAGAAAATGTGATGTTGCGGAGAATTAAAACCCACACATATCAACACCAAATACAAGTATCTTATAAGATCATTGAAATATTGTATTTTTTTAATTATTGTAGAGTGACTGATGGTACCGACACGACCACTTTAACAACGACTATTTCTATACGAGATATTAATGAAACGCCAGTGTTTTCGGGGACGCCACCTTATGTCGTAAATGTAGCTCAGTCTGCGTCGCCAGGTTATAAATGTTTCTATAGTTATATCCAATTTTTATGTTTTTTCTGTTTTTTTTTTATAAATAAACACAAAACAACAAGTACAACAACAACAACATAAACACCAATAATTATCACATCAACAATTATAACGACAACAGCAGCATCATCATCAGCTGCAAATATACTACTTTTGTTGAGAATTTTTTTTGGTAATGTTATTCATTTATTTGTTATGCTTTCAATTATTAGAGTTTGTTTTCTTCAGAATTCCAAAATTTGAACTATAGATTACTGCTATTTACAAATCAATAAATGAATACAGTTTTTACTTGCAGATAAAGCCGAATTGCATTTATTACATGAATCACTTTGTTCATTGCTGTTTTTGTATTGATTAAAGGAACAACTGTACATAAGGTAGTCGCAACAGACCCTGACGATGGAAACACGATCACCTATGGTCTCACGGGTAGGTTGAAGAAATATATCCCGGATTTTTCTCTCGAAAAACGTTACATTTTCTTTTGGATTAGAACTGTTACATTTTATCTACATTTATGCTTATTAAACCTCACGTAAACTTTTACAGCCTAATGTAACGTCAAATGGTACTATTTCGATCTATCATCCTGGAAATGAGTATCACCCGGTCAATATCTTTTTTTCCAAGGGGCGAGTAATCAATATAGACTTTTACACAATTATTTTGTCATTTAGAATGATTTTGTAACATATTACCAGGTGCCTCACAGTTCGAAATCAATCCCACAACAGGTGTTATAAGAGTTACAAGTGGTACGGTATTTAATAAAGCAACAACCTCGCAATATTCCGTCACTGTTACGGCTACGGATAACGGGAGTCCAATTCTAGTTGCCACAGCTAAAATCAGATTCGACATTGTTATTAGTGAGTTTTTATTTATTTATTTGTTTATTTTCACTGCATGTAAAAATGCCCATTGGTAATATTCTCCGTTTTGGTATGCTTATTCATAATATTGCTGCAAAATACATCGTGGATACTGAATGAGTATCGGGGCATATATTTTTTATTCCTGTTGACGATATTTCGGAATTGGTTATAATTGGTTGATATTGATTCTGATTGTCAGATATACTTTTCATTTCCGTATTAAGTCCGGGATTATTATGAATAAGCGACAAGGTATTCCGATCGCAAGTATCAGTGATCACGTGCTTCGTTTAAAATGTTTCTGTTACTAGTATCATATTCTTAGATCATGAAAAGTTTAAGAAAATTGTATTACCCACTTTCATTCTGACCACATGTTTGTCCGTCCAATTTTATCTCGTTATGTCATCATAACCTTACAGCTAAGTCTATCATTGGTATGTCTAAAATGAAGCCCTAAACACTTCTTATATCCCGTCTGTAACTGACTTTGCTGACTTTGTTTGTTTGTTAGTTTCTCTTTTTGTTTCATATATGGGAAAATATCTTTTATTTCGGGTTATTAACATGGGTAAAATTGGTAAAAGAGACATTTGTATTTTAAGGTCCAACATTTATTCCATCAACGCCAACAACCGCCACTGTGAATGAAAACGCAGCAATAGATACATCTGTATTTACGGTGAACGTTGCCGATGGGGATACTCCGAGTGGCAGTTTGGTAATTTCTATTAAAAGCCAGACTCCAAACACACCGACTAATATGTTTAAACTGGAAAACAGAGTCTTAAAGACAAACAAAGATGCCTTTAACGCTGAAGTTCATCGAACGTATGCCATTGTATTTCGGTAAGTTATTTGTCTTACTTTTCTAGAAAGTTAACATACACTTGACTAAGTGTACGTACAAATAACTACATGTATAACTATATTATTTCTCGTTCTTTTCTTCCATCACGAATACTGTCGGATTGGTCACGTGATGCAACAATGTGATTGACTATAGTTTGTCTTTATAACTCTAATTTTATTATGAACTAATTATAGGGTTACGGATGGCACATTTACCGTAGACAGTGCAATTTTAACAGTCAATGTGAATGACTTAAATGACAACTCTCCCGTTATAACTCCTGTAAGCCCTATAACCATTCCTGAAAGCAAACCTTTAGGTGAGTATCATTTTGTTTTAATACCTTGTACAATAAAATAGCGTCAGCCAGCTGCTCACACCGGTTACTCTCTCTGATCGGTACAGTTACCACGCCCACCAAGAATGTCACATGACCTATACATAGTCATATAAAACATCTAAGTTTGTTCCATGATAACGTAGTAACAGGGGCAGGTAATCCAGAGTAACAAAGGCATAAAAGGGGAGATCACTAAGTTGAGATTGCCTCCTGATTACCCGGAGGTGCTGATTTATTAGCATGTAGAGTCCAGAGTATATGTCGACTTAGTTAGCGGCATTAGAATATAGTTGAGATGTATTGGAGACAAGACTGGGAATACTTGTTAGGTAACTGCCCTTCAGTAAGCGACTCGGGTACTTTTAAAAAAAATTGAACCAAGCAAATCGAACCAACCTAGGAAAGACAACTGCACAATCGCAACTTTTCGGCCCATTCCGTAAGTCTTCGGAAAAGGACCTCGAACACAATAGTATGAATACACAGAACAGATACGGTATTTCGGTTTGACCTACGCTTAGAAATTAAACATGTTAACAAATAGTAATTTAATTCTGGGAGTTGTTGACTTTGAAGGTTCTTTTCCAAATACAACAAGTATAAGTCTATCTAAAATAAATGAATTCATAGATATAAAAGCAAACAATTAATCATATATTTATTATTCTGGTTGTAGAAACCGAAAGTACAAAATGCCAATCCGTTGACATTTTGTCGGATTTGTTTAAAATTGGATATCAGTGTGCATTTTTAAATGAAAAATGGTTGTCAGACATATTTTCAATCATGATTGTACCGCAACAGACTTTATTTTCCTTTGGAAGTCAAATATATACATTCGTTTTACATAATCGAAGATTACACTCTCTGTTTCTGTTTACATCTGAAACCACGTGGTAGAACTACTTTCAATCCATATTAACTCCAAGGTAATTATAGGGAATAGCCGATGATGTTCCAATTGGGCAACTGCGATTATGGCTTGCGTTCAAAATTGCATGTAAATAAAAAATCTAGACCTTTTATTGCAATCATTTTGTTTCTGAAAATTTAGAGGTCTTTTGAAGACATTCACATATCTTAACATAGTGTTAGATATAGACAGGAGCTTTATTATTTTAAAAGCGTGTTTTATTATACATATTTCATTTTTGTTAAGGTTACGTTCTGTATTTAATTTTTACTGCAATGTGCTGTTGTGTGTTGTAAATATTTAAACTCTCCGGCTCAATTAAAATACAGACAGTGCTTGATTAAATAACGTGTTAAATTTATTTATGAACCATTTTAAGATCCGTTTACATGTTTTTTTTTCAGGTACAGCATCTGTGGTTGTTGACGTCGCTGCAACTGATGCCGACATTTCGTCACCCAATAATGTTTTGACTTACGCTATAGTTTGTAAGTAAACATTTCCTCATAATATAGATTTTATAATTATTTACTCATATGCATAAATTTCATATTTTTCTTAATATGATAAAACTTATTTCCCTTGCGTAGAAACTTTACATTTCCTAATAAGCAAACAAGCTTCTCAGATTTTAATAGCAATGACCAAATCGATCTCCCAAGTAATGGTATATAAAAATATTAAAACATATAATTTCAATTAACTATCAAATCAGAAAATTTCAATACTATAAGATTGAAAAAAGGAATATTTTCCGATGACCAAAATGCCAAAATTCTCATCAGATAAGTGAGTTCTTTATACGGGTTGGATATCAAATCATTAGTTTTCTTCTCATGTTTATGATATTATGATCGCTTCTCTTCATAAATGAAATAAATTATGCTAGATCAACCTAAAATTGTTTCACTATTTCTGTTGCTTATTGTATTATATTTTTTCACTTTCAAACCAGGTCGAATTCCAATGGCAACCATTGTTGTCTGACTTCCATGCATGAAGTACTACGTTCAATACAATACCGTTCCTGTAAGAAAAAGAACGGTAGCGGAACATTTAACCGATTCGCCAAGATTTACGGACAAGAAACAAGGACATGACATACAGACATGAGTCACTCACAAGATATACTGACATGGTATACGCACGGACATGATACACTGACAAGATGCACTGACAAAATGTACTGACAATGATATACGGATATGATATACGGATATGATATATGGATATGATGCACTGATATTTTACACTGACATAATATACGGACATGTGGCAAGGACATGATAAACGGATATGATATACGGACATGATACACTGACATGATACACGGACATGAAACAAGAACATGATATACAGACATGAATCACGGACATGATATACTGACATGATACAAGGACATAATACACGGACATGATATACGGATATTTAACAAGGACATAATACACGGACATGATATGCGGACATGACATACGGACACGAAACATGAACATGACATACGGACACGACATACGGACATGAAAAACGTACATGATATACGCACTTGAAACACGGTCTTAATATACGGACATGATATGCGGACATGATACACGGACAAGATAGACTGATAATGATATACGGACATAAAACACGGATATGATATCTGAACATGATACACGGGCATGATACACGGATATGATACGGACATGATATGCGGACATGATACACCGACAAGATACACGGACATGAAACACGGACAAGATACACGGACATGATACACGATATGTTACACTGACATGATTCACAGACATGATATACGGACTTGAAACACAGACGAGATACACGGACATGATACATGGACAAGATACACGGACATGAAACACGGACAAGATACACGGACATGATACACGATATGTTACACTGACATGATTCACAGACATGATATACGGACATGAAACACAGACATGATACACGGACATGATACACAGACATGATACACAGACATGATATACAGACATGAAACACAGACATGATACACTGACATGATTCACAGACATGAAACACAGACATGATACACGGACATGATACATGGACAAGATACACGGAAATGAAACACGGACAAGATACACGGACATGATACACGATATGTTACACTGACATGATTCACAGACATGATATACGGACTTGAAACACAGACGAGATACACGGACATGATACATGGACAAGATACACGGACATGAAACACGGACAAGATACACGGACATGATACACGATATGTTACACTGACATGATTCACAGACATGATATACGGACTTGAAACACAGACATGATACACGGACATGATACACGGACAAGATACACGGACATGAAACATGGACAAGATACACGGACATGATACACGATATGTTACACTGACATGGTTCACAGACATGATATACGGACTTGAAACACAGACATGATACACGGACATGATACATGGACAAGATACACGGACATGAAACACGGACAAGATACACGGACATGATACACGATATGTTACACTGACATGATTCACAGACATGATATACGGACATGAAACACAGACATGATACACGGACATGATACACAGACATGATACACAGACATGATATACGGACATGATACATGGGCATGACAAACGGACATGATATGCACACCATCGTTTAGTAAATTAACGTCAAAGAAACGTATTTTTAGTTTGTCAATTTCATTGATTCAATTTAATATAAAAGTAGTTTTAAAATCATTCGTACCTGTTTTAGCTGGAAACACCGCTACAACATTTGGTATTATTGCATCAACTGGAGTGATATATCTCCTCAAGGCACCATTGTCATCACGTTATACGTTGAAGGTCAGGGTGTCAGACGGGGCGACACCGCCATTGTCCAGTGAAATTGACATTGTTGTAAATGTAAATGGAAGTGAGTATTCTAGTTAAAGGACGTAAAGTAAATTAATAAATTAAGTTAACGAAGTAATAATAATGGTGTTGCAAAAAACCCCAAAGAAACCGACAATGATTTTCAGTTTATTAAAATAGATACAAAAAATGTTATTATTTTACTAAAATCTTAAAGCTACAGACTCACTGACATCCCGGCAGAGCCCCGGTTGACGTCAGGGTGATCCGGGAACGACCGGGGTACATCCGTTACTCTGCCGGCAACGTCCAGGATGATCCGGGAATATCAGGCATTCGACCCCGGATGGAATAAAATATTTAATATCACTGGGGTGGTCCGGGATGATCCAAGAAGTAAAGCTTTGCCGGCTTCATCCTTAGCTCTGCCGGGAACGACCGGGATTACACTGGGGAAGCACCCTTGCTCTGCCGGCACAAACCGGGGTTGATTCGGGGTATAATATAGCCGGAAGAGCTACGGTAGAGCCCATTTGAATGCCGACAGAGCCCCGGTGAATGCCGGCAGAGCCCAGGATGATGCCGGCAGAGCCCCGAGGATGACGATGGAGCTTACGGTTGATCCCGTTAGAGCCCCGGCAGAGCCCGGTTCATTTCAAAAGAATCACGACAATTTGCGATGATTGCACTTGTTTGTATTAAAACCCTTCCAATTTCCCTTCTATCCAGTCTTGCATTAATTTTTTTCAGAAAATCATCATGAATTACTGTTCTGGGACAAAAGATATTATATTAAATAAAAATTATGTATCAATGTAATCATTTTTGCGCGTTTTCAATCCCCCGGGGTTGTACCGGGGCTCTGCCTGGATCGTCCTGGGCTCTGCCGGGGCTCTGCCTGGATCGACCGGGGCTCTGCCTTGGTCAAACGGGGCTCTTCTGGCGTCATTCGGGAACGACTGAGGAAGCACCGGCATGAACCGTAGCTTCACCTGGGCTCTGCCTTGATGGTCCGGAGCGCATCCTGGGTGGTAAGTTGGGAATTACCGTAGTGCTGCCGGGGTTAGTGTGACTGCAACAATAATTTCACCCCGGATCGTCCCGGATCATCCCGGTAACTTACCGGGGTGGTCCTGGACTCTGCCGGGAGTAAGTGAGACCGCAGCTTTACTTGTCAGGTACCGAAGTAATAAAAAAATGATAAGATGTCATTTTGTTTGCCACCAAATTTGACTGTATAGTTTGCAATACCAATTCTTATACCCGAGTGAGATATATACATATACAAAAGATTTCCATCATTTGCTTCAAATTTTATTTTTTAGTCTATATGAGCCTTGAGAAAATTTTATACCGGATTTTAGAGTATATTTGCGTGCAAAACAGACCAGTCAAAGAAACAATTTTAGATAGCAAAGGCGAGCGGAATTAGAAGTGGTTCGAATAAGTTACAAGGTTTCTTTCAAAAATGAGAAAGAAAAAACTAGAAGAAAGCCCTTTGCAGTTGGTCATTTTAGTGATAAAACTTATTTGGTTTTAATGTATAAATTCATACTCCTGCACATGCGCAACAGGATATAGTGGAACTACTTGCCAAACAAGTAAGTATTCTAAGTGGTGTGTTTATCATTTTAATTAAATTCTCTTTTCAGTCCAACACAAAATAATGAGATTGCGTACTACTGTAACTTATGAATATAAGTTATTTCTTTCACATGAAAAACATAAAATATCAACATTTACCTTTGACCTCTGTTTCGTCTAGTTTGTACGGATAATAAGTACGGAAGCGGCTGCTCCCAAACATGCAACTGTAACGCATCCAGACTGGTTGAAAATGTTGGAACTCAAACCTGTAACCACAAAACAGGTTACTGCATGTGTAATTCAAAATGGACTGGTCCAGCATGTGAAACGGATGTTGACGAATGCACGGTAAGATTTGTCTTAACCCATAACATACTTGAACCGAATACCCGTGCAGTCTTGTAGCTGGTTGCTCATTTTATTATCATTAAATTTATTATTATTATTATTATTATTATTATTATTATTATTATTATTATTATCAATATTGTTATTACATTTTGTATTATTGTTATCATCCTTATCATCATCATCATAATTATAATTATTATTATTTTGTAATTGAAGTCCCTAAACATTTGAATGGGTTTTACCACATTCAAAGCAGAGCTAATCCATTAAGTTAAAATGAGCAGGTGACGGTTTAATACAACGCAATTATAGATTGCAACTATAATCACAAGTACATTTTTCTAAGATACCATAAAACGATTTGTCATTTACTAATAATTTAATAGATATATATTGACAGTTTTAACTTGTATATTTTTCTTTGGTTCTTTATGTTCTACTTATATAAAGGATGAATAATTGAATATTGTGGCCACGCAAAGTTAGTAAACTAGCCCTCTTCTCCTATGTGCTGTATTTTAAAGAGTACATGCTAAGTTTACTAACTCTAAAACTGTTAAGGTATTAGGACCCTAATGGGCACTATCAGGAACTAAAAAATTGACATCATAAGTCAGATGTATACCTTAAAGTACACCTGTATGCAAAATTTAAACAAAGTTTACCGTACGGAAATCAAGTTATGGCCACTTTTCTGAACTCAAGCTAGGATGTTATGAGGGCCCTTTTTTAGAAAGTAGGAACCTTTAAATAATCTGCAATAACATTCTAATGAAAAATGTTTTCCCATTAATTTTTGGTAAGAAACAAATAGTACCATTTAGCTAACAATCCAAATAAGCAAAATTATGGTTTCTACTTAAAATTTATGAAATCTGTATAAAAATGTTACCATACCCCACCCATTTTTACCACGTGTCTGACCATTTTTCTACTTAGGGAGCCTAATTTAAAAAATTCTTAAAATTTACCCAAATGAGTGCCTGTTTTCAAAGTTTCCCTAAATTTTTAAAAAAGTATATTGGTTTATCTTGTAAAATATGAAATACTTTTACCGTCTAGTTTTGATTATATTACACTTTGAAAATATCAGGTACCATATTTATTACTAGATTTAGCATAATTTAGCCAATAAATACCTATATAAATTAAAAAATCAAAATTAAAAACTTTTTTTCTTTCCAAATGGGACATGAGAGATACATAAATAATGTTAAAAGAAAAAAAAGAAAGAAAAAAAAAGTTCTGAGGATTGAACCCATGGCCCTCATTTTCAATGTAGTTAACAGTTGTTCTAGCCTATTTGAATACTCTTCAAAGCGGAGGTAATGCATTAGGGTGCTAATACCTTAAGTTAATGTTATGTTCATGTGAACACAGGTTTATTCGAAGTTTAACAAAACTCATTAAAGTTTTAATTTTTCTAAATATTTTTTTTATTGCATGGTATGACATAAACGTGCCACATTGAAGGTTCCATGATAACCGCCGAATGAACACATCTGCGGATGTTTTTAAATTTAAAATTTAACCATTTTTATGTTTGAATGTTGAATTCTGCTTAAGCCGGTGCTAGGTGGCGTTGACGGTAGCTTGCAATAACCACAACCGTCAATGAAAAGGCTCAATCAAACCGAGCCTGCAACATTTTCAATTTCGCCGTGTTGGGCTTTCTTTAGGGATTCTGTTTTTCTCTATTTTTTTAGTTTGCTGACTTGCTATTTTCTAACCTTAATAATTGTTTTATAAAAATAATTTGTTGTCATTTTAAGGATACTACCATTTGCAACAGTACCCCAAACAAGGTTTGTGAAAATACCTTAGACGGCTATTATTGTACATGCAAAGTGGGGTACACAGAAAATACGGACAAAACCTGCAGAGCAAGTAAGTTTATTGTTCTTGTTGTTGCTGTTGTTTATACCTAACATACAGTTGTTAAAGTAGTATTATTTTATTGAGTGATGAATCCGAGTCACTAGAGATGATATTGTATTTTTTATAAACCGTCAAAACTTTCCATTAATGGTTTAAGTCAAGGCGAGTTCCTTTTCTCACTGTTAAATAAACACTTCTCTTGGCGTTGGCGTTGGCGTCACACCTTGGTTAAGTTTTTCGTACCACCCCACTTTATTTCAGAAGTATTACAAGTATGGCTTTGAAACTTACCATACTTGTTCACCATCATAACCTCCATCTACAGACAAGAGTACATAACTCTGTCAAGGTTTTTGACAGAATTATGGCCCTTTTTTGACTTAGAAAGTGTATTGAGCTTGGTTAAGTTTTTTGTACCACCTCACTTTATTTCAAAACCATTGGAGGTATTGCTTTGAAACTGACCATACTTGTTTACCATCACGACCTTCATCAACAGACAAGAGGACATAACTCTGTCAAGGTTTTTGACAGAATTATGCCCCTTTTTGACTTAGAAAATACATTGAATATGGGTAAAATCCACTTATTGCCTTAACCCTTTGAGATATTGCTTTGAAACTTTTAATGCTATTTCACATCATTACCCCCATCTGTACGCAAGAGAAGGTAACTCTGTCAAGGATTTGTTTTAAAAATTAAGGCCTTTTATCGACTTAGAATCTTGGTTAAGTTTTTAGTACCAGTCCACTTTTTGACTGAACTGTTTGAGATATTAATTTGAAAGTTGGAATACTTGTTTACAATCATGATTCCCAAACATGTCCAGGAGAAGGTAATTCTGTCAAAGATTTTATTTGAATTATGGCCCTTAACTGTCAATGTTTTGTATTATAGGCAAGCACTAAAAAACTTAAAAAATCTAAAAAAATTCATTCCTATCCACTTGTTCACTTTACCATAAATTATGTCATATAAACATTGCTGTAATATTCAAGGGTATCAAACAACTAGTTATTTTTCTCTTTTTGTACTTGAAATTAAAATCAGTAGTATATGCATATTTCACATTTTATCTCGCCTATTTGATTGGTGGACAAGTGACCAGCTACGGACAGAACACATAGCTGTAAGTATATTTTCTCGCACTTTCTACTTTAGTCTTCAAATCATATAATTAATACTTTACAAACACATTATTATTTATTTATATTTATACTAGATTTAGGTTGTCAGTCTCTCCATGTATTCATGACATTTTGTAAATGCTAAATCTCAAAAAACTAATAAATACCATACCTAGTACTTATGCCTTCCATAACTACTTCCATACATTTTGGCTATGGTAACACTAAACATTTTTCTTATTTTACTTCTTAGAAGTAGATCTTAAAATGTGTAGTGTTAAAGGAATTTGTCACACTCCTTGCCTACCACAGTGACTTAGGGTATCCTTGTTTATAAAATGCAATTATATATAAATTTTTACTATATTTGGTGTTTTATAAAATTGTGCCCATAATATAAATGCACATCACTTATACATGGTATTTTCTATTTGCAGAACTACAATGGATCTCATTAAAAAGCAAATGGAACAGTTAAGCTCCCATGAGCTTCAAATGTTGGGGATATGCCATAAGTTAAATAATCTAAGAGGAGCGGGGGAAGCATCTACTGATCTCCAGACCCTTGCCAGGAAAAACAAGGCATCGATGTCTTCTTTAAAAACAAAATTGGATCTATTTTACAAAAAAATGGAAACTTTAGAAAAAGAGAATGCTTCTTTAAAAAAGGAACTAGAAAAAGAAAAGAAAATCAATGGTCACTTGAGATTAAAAGTAACAAACGATACCAAAAAAATTAAAGAGCAAGAAATTCAGATATCTACAAAAAATTCACAACTAGCCAATATAGATTTGAACACAGTAAGCCAAGAAGACATCTTTTCAGAATTCATGAATGAAGAAGACTTTAGCGGTGGCGCATGTGGCACTAACAATGATCTTCTTCAACAAAAACCTTCCTGTGAGGATGAGAACTCTATTACGCAGGAAGAAACACCAAAGAAAAAACAGAAGAACATTTAAAGAATTTTCAAACTGTACCACTTTTCATATTTAGGTTCCTCAAGAAGCTTGTTGATATTGCCTAAACAATACAATAAACAATATGTAAAAAATTATTTAAAAACAGTTAAATTTATTCCTTTTATAATCTTATAAAAAATTCTAAACCATAGAATTATACTGTGAAATAAAAATATATGAAAAAAAATTTCAGATACCTATCCACACAGTATGTAAGTAAGTTGTTTTATTAAATATGTTCAATTTACACATCACATGTAACTAATTGAAAATTTTGTATTTATTTCAGACTCACTTAAATAATTTTCAATTCTAATACATCAGTTGCTTCCTGATTTCAGATGGCAATTGCCTCATTTTCATACTTAATAATAACAAAAGATGAATATGGACACAGCACAAAATTCACTATAAATCAAAATTAAACACAAATGTACTAAACCTGGGCTATGGTTATACTAATATGCATATTGTTTATTGTACATCTATAACAAGTTACTTTGAGAACCTAATTCCAAGGAAGACACTTTAAAGACTCTTTAATTGTTTTTCTGTTTATTCAAAATACGCAACTGAAGACTTTGAAGATGTATAGAAGCTTCACCACTCCTCTTGAATTATTCAATTTATGACAGATTCCCAACATCTGTACTTCATGCAAGCTGAATTGTTCAATTTGTATTTTTATCAGATCCATTGTAGTTCTACAAATACAAAATATCTTATATAAATGATAAAATATGATCCCTTTAAAAGTGACGAAATGGGGCCCAAAAGGGAACCTTTTTTAATGAAATCGGTTTTGCCCCATCATAAAAAAGCTTTTTTCTTTAAAAGCCTTTTTTCATATACAAAAATCTTTCCTTTCAAGCTTTTAAAACTTTTTTTTTCTTTTTAAAGGTTATATTTAACACCTTTTGGGGGAAAAAAAAAGGAAAGCACCCCATCTACAAGGGCCCAACTTTAACCCAAGTGTAACAGTTGTGGAAAAGACTTAAAAGACCCCGACAGTCTAATTAAACAAACATGTCTCCCCTGAAAAAGTTGGGGGAAAGGCTTACTTAAATCAAGTAAAAAAGATTTGAAAAACTATTGAAATTGGGCAAAAAATTTTCCTCCTGTAGAACTGAAAAAAAATCTTTTAAACCCTTTCCAAAATTTAAACAAACACAAATGCACATTTTGCCACAGATGCAGGACAATATTTAGTACGTATCAAAAACTGGACTTGCATAAGTGTTCTGCTGCAAACAGTAATCAAAACAGTCCTGAAAGTGAAAACCTACAAGTTACTTACTTACAGTCTACTCCCGACAAAAACCCAACCGAAAAGAATACAGTTATAAACAAACTACAAGATGCTTCAGATAGTAGCACACACACTGATGATAGGACTTCACCACTTGAAGCTTGTATCATAACACAACATGAAGAAATACAACTATACTTTAATCCTATAAGAGCAAATTGGCAGAGGAGGTGTTGCTCCAATTTAAATTTAAGAGGTCAAATCACTTTTGAAAACAACAATGTAACATGCAAATTAGATGCACCATCGAAATTTAAACATATTATTGGAGATGGCAACTGCTTTTTCAGATGTATATCGTATGTTGTTACAGGATCTGAAGAAAATTACCATCAATTTAGAACCATGTTAGTCCAACACATGATCAGATATGCAATTTTGTGCAAACCAATTCTAGACAACAACATCACTGCAAGACAGTATTTGCAAAATTCTAAAATGGCTGAAAATAAAACTTGGGCAACGCATATAGAAATCTTTCTTATGGCTCATCTTCTGAAAACAAATATATTTGTATACACCAATGTAAGTGAATCAACATATCAGTGGTTGAAACACTCTCCAACTTTCTTAGATAGAACTATATCTGTGTGCCAACAAAGTATTTACCTTAACCATAGAAATGGCAACCATTACGAGGTGGTTTTACATGTTGCCAATACTCGCATTCCAGAGCTCTACAAGCATGAAACAATATTTAAAGAATTGCAAAATCAAACTCTTAAAGCAAAGGAACAGCTCAGAAACAGGGATCAACATGGTTCTAACTTCCAAAAGCCAAATGTTATCGGAGCGAATAAAAAGCAAAAAGATCAATTAAGAAAACAGAATTGGAGGAGTGTCGTTGAAAATCGGCTTGCAGAAAATAAACGGAAAAGAGAGGATTCAGTAAATAAAGAGAATGAGAAAATCAAAATGAGACAAAAACGATTATCTACAGAAGTCAGGGAATCTGAAAATAGAAAGAAAAAGGAAGACCCTCGTAACAGAGAAAAGCAGAAAATATTGATGAAACAAAAACGATTATCTACAGAAGTCAGGGAATCTGAAAATAGAAAGAAAAAGGAAGACCCTCGTAACAGAGAAAAGCAGAAAATATTGATGAAACAAAAACGATTATCTACAGAAGTCAGGGAATCTGAAAATAGAAAGAAAAAGGAAGACCCTCGTAACAGAGAAAAGGAGAAAATATTAAAGAAACAAATACGACTATCATCAGAAATTAAAGAATCGGAAAATAAAAGAAAAAGGGAAAACCCTGACAATAGACACAATGAGAAATTATTAAAAAGACAGAAACGCACATCTTCAGAAGTAAGAGACACTGAAAATAAGAAAAAAAGAACAGACGTTACAAATAGATATAAAGAAAAAGAACATAAACAACTTGTACGTTCAGATGATAATCATAAACAAATTGAAAATGACAAAAAGAAAGCTAAAAAGACCATCACAGATACAAAATCTTTAATCAAAACATTTCATGAATCAATTGAAAAAGGCCCTACTTATATATGCACATGCTGTAATCAAATGTGGTACAGACAGAGTGTTCAAAAAGCAACTGGGCTCCACATTGCAGACCTTCACTTCAAACACAAAGTCTTCAC